ACACTTTGCTTGTTCAGTCCCAGCTGACGGAAAAGCAGAGAATCACATCACTGATTGTCGAAGTTGCGACAGAATACGCTGTGCTGAAACACCCGATCGCTATACATACGAGGCCGAGGCCCGGGTAGTCTCCGGTCTTGAAACCTGCGAGAAGGCCGGGTTGTGGAGCAAGTCGTGTTCTTCATGTGCATCGCCAGAATATCGTGACGAGATCACACTCGGGAGTCAGAAACCTACTCGGACGTCGATCTCGGAGTTGTCGACGACACGCGTCACCACGACTTGAAACATATTCATCCCTCTGGAAGCACTTGCGCTCTCGGCCGACAACGATCCCAACTCGACTCGAGAAGTTTGTTCCAACATTTTTGCCCACTCGGATCAGCGGAGACCTCGGTGCATTTACGAAGATTGCGTCGATTCGAAAAAATGTCGTTCGTGCGCAATGGCATTCAACAATGTGATGGAGGGGCCTCTAATTTCCAGATCGCTCGCGATTCTAATCCAATGGAAAGGAGTCTAGCAGGGACCGAGTCGGGATTGGGAAGAGGTCATGCTCCAGCTGATGCATTCCAGAAACAGCCGGCCCGACGTGGGCTCTGCTTACTCAGAATAAACTGAGCTCCTCTTGTATCCGAAAGAGACTTCCAGCGATTTTACGGAGGAGCCCTTCCCTTCCGAGGAATCGGCGAGAAAAAAGTTGTTCGAGCGGCGGCAGTTTTTTTCTTGTCGCACGGCATCTACGTCGTCTATTCGCCGTTCCTACGTCGATCCGCGAAAGGCCGTTGTTCGAAGAAAGGACAAAGCGACACCGGACAGAGCAACAGATGCCATCCCGGAGCGCAGGCACGAGCATCAATCCACTCGGTCGCTTGCCAGCCACTTGGCAAGGCAGGGACATTCGTCAGCCTTCCCCTGCCGTTGTCGCTCCTGGTGCTGCTGTGCGTCAAAAAGCAGACACCAAGAGTTTTTGCTTTTCCCAAACAAATAATTCAATCACCGAGCTAACTTTTGAGTGGCCATTCGACATTCGCGGGCTGAGGCCAACCAGTACTGTCAAGCAGACCTTCAACTGGGAGCGCAGAGGCCATGATGGACAGTGAGCAAGAAATCCAGGTATTCCGCGTGAGAGTATTCCGCCGAGGAATCGGAGAAAAATTAGCGATCGCTGTCCATCAAAAATTTCTTTCTTGTCCATTGCGTTGAACCTCCTCTCCCCCCCCCCGAAAAAAAACTCGACAGGTATGCGAGCTTATGTGGCGGCACGAAGCGGAATTTATTTTCGCGAGCATCGACTGACTTGAGTCGATGAGGTTTGAACGGTTGCCCTTGTCCTCGAGACCTAGAAGAATGTCCACTGCGGATTCTTTCGAAAGAATGACCGCTACCGTAGGACACGATGAACGCAGACGCGCCGACTGCATGATCCATCTACTCCATCGAAACACTGCTCTAAGTCTTCGCTCCGTGTTCGGCTTGTCAATGAAGTCCTGATCAGGTTATGTGGAACCAAAGTCCACATCGCGTGATTGATGACCGAACCCTGGAATCAGCAGCGATGAAGGGTTTCCCTTCTATTTATCGAGCATCGCTCTTCCAGGCTCAAAGCGCTTCGCCTCTCCATCAAGTTTGTGTGGCTCTCCGGTTAGTTTCAGAATCCAAACTCGGTCTCGGAGCTCTCTTTGTGTGCCCGCATACCCGCAGCGAGCTGTCAGCTCGGCGGTCGGTCCGTCCCGCCGCGCCATCGGTCGCCTGGGCGCTGCACGTCCTCCTCTCGGTCTTCATACATCGGTCCGTAGTGCGTCGACGCGAAATCTGTCGCAGCCAAACACTCTGTCATTAGATGGAGCACAGTTTGAGCCCATGGTCAAACGGTGCAGCAAGAGCGGCAACGCAACCTCCGTGCCGACACTCTGGGGAGTATAGGGGGACAGCGTTGTCTCCACGGAGAGATAGAGAGGGAAGTCGGAGGGGGGGAATTCGGACGAGGTTAGCGAACGTAGTCGACAAAGAACGCGGACTCGCAGCCGAGGGCGGTCGAGACGCAGCAGCAGCGGCGGCGGCAAGAACAAACGGGGTATGGCGGCGAGCTCTGCGAGGCTTGCGGGTTTGGTAAGAACTGTGGAATCGGTGAAAAGTGGAAGGGTTGCGGAGGGTGGGGTAAGAGCGCTCCGATGGAAATGAGGTTAGCGCAATGGGATCGCCCTAGGCCCCAACTTGGTAGCCAGCCAACGCTAGAGAATAAGAGGATTGCGGTGGAAAGCTTTCTTTAGTTGCACTGCAAGCCAGTCAGCTAGATCGTTCCCGCTCTCCACAAACACCCCGTCCGCCCCCCGATCGCCCCCCCCTCCGTTGTCCTTCCCCGACGAAGTCTTTGTGTCTGCCGACGAGCGAATCGCGGCGCATCCCACGCTACGGGTCGACGCAAATGTTGATTTTAGACTCGAAAGGAAATCTGCGGAGGAGCCGACATCAATATCAGAAGGATGCCTTACGAGTACAAAGACGCTCTCGCATTAATCCCCTTCACGCTCCGTTCCGGCGACATGAATCGAAGAGCGAACTTATTGATTCTCACACCGCATCACGCAGAGGCGAAGATCGGCCTCCCCGTCGACATTTTCCCACCGTGATAAGAGGACGACTCGCATATTCATTCAAATGCGGGGCGAACGACCGAGAGATATACTATGTACGTACGCTGTGAGCCTGAGGATCGGAATGCGTGGGCTGACGCTCCTCGCGGCTATTTACCCGAATTCCCACCTTGTGAGCCTCTGACAATGAACCATTTTTACTACGATGGACATACCCATGGAATGTTTCCTCCTCTGTGAACTTTGTTCTCATTTGCATGTATTTCCATGTGATATTCTGATCGGTCTCGCACGAGCCAACCGATGCCGCCTCCTCATGATAGAGTTTCGGAGCGAAACCGTTGGGAAAGCGGCGACCGTCGTCTGGGTTTTGAAGTTTTCCACCGAACTCTCTCGGAGAGCTTGCGCCCTAGCGATGAGCTTCGTTACCGGGAGCACCGTTTGTTGCGGCGGCGGCGGATCGATAATGGTGGTGGCGGCGGCGTGCGAACTCACTTCGGATACCCATTATACACTGGAGCGGCTGTGCCCGTCACGGCGCGGCGGTGTTCAGATGTTATTTTCCATCGTTCCGCGTCGGGCCGCATCTTCGTTTAAGCTCGCTTCCTCTCACTCGTCTGTCTGCTCGCCTGCTCGCCGGCCCAATCGCTCGCTAGCAAGTCCTCTTACGTTGGTTTTCTCGACGCGACCTCGACCTCCTCGAATATCTGCTTGCGTTAACAAAAGCAACCACGAGTCAGCAAAGCTGCTATTGGCTTCTTTCACCGGTTTTTCCACTGTCGACCGGGAGTCGCCTCCGGATGTTCCGAATCTCACACTCTGAGCTCTGATGGAGATAACGAAAGCGCGGTATGAATGGGAGAGAAACAAAGGAAGTCGACGGGCATATAGAGCCGTGGGTCTTCATGGGAGAGAACGGCCGTAGGTAAATATTTCAGGTACGTACCTTGGGATTCTGATTCCGAACACGAATTTAGAGGAATGTCCTGCGAGTTAATTCGATCCAAAAACTCGGCAACACGCAGGGGCCTCGTTGACAAAGTCCCGAATCGGATAGCTGAGCGAGGATCTTGGAAGGAGAGGATTCGCAACACATTTCTAAACATCCCGATGTGTGGCAGACACTTTAGTTCCTCGTTCCGCGCCGCAACGAGCGAGGAACAACAGGTGTGAGCGAGGAATAGGAGGAAACTCTCACGACGGGCTCAGAGATTTGATTGTCAGCCTCCACCGAGGGCGGAGCGCATTAGATCTTTTAATCAGCAGAATACAATATGTTCCTCAAGTATAGGAGAATGCACGCGATAGAAATCGAGGAATGGAAAGCGGAGTCGCTCGCAGCCCTGACAATATGGATGCGATCGCAGCTTGAGCTCTCCACTAGAGTGCTCATGATTCCGCAGCGTGTTCAATCCCCGGTCGTATGTCAACCCGCAGCGAGATACGCGGCTGTGTTTACAACGTGCTAAAATAGTCGTTTGTCCCACTGTCGGAACGACGGGGTATCCACGCCGGCAGACGCCATCCGGGTCGAATCGCGGGCTGGATCGGACAGCCAGTGGCGGAGCCTATTCTTAAAAGCCGGCCTGCGGTGACCGTTATCGATCATCGTCGCGTCGCGAGTCCTGCAGGTTCGGATTCCTCGCTCGAACGGATATCATTGACGAAGACCCCATACAGAAAACCACTGACCGGGCTGCGAGGAACTCTGACGCTTCGCAAAATATACTCGGGTCAGGCCAAAGGTCCGGAACTTGTCCTAGACGGAGTCAATAAACAGGATGCACAAGTCTCCAAATGGAAACCTGTGATTGTGGGAGGGGGTAGTCGGGGTAGAGGGAGGGAGGGATGGATAGAAGGGGAGATGGCGGGAACTTGAAAGCTCTCCTGACTGCTGAAAGCTTTCGCAAGAACCTTATCGGGAGGAAATTTCGACCTCTGAATGAGCGTGTGACGAAACCGAAGCCAGTCGGGGAACGTGGTGGTGGCGGAGGCGGCGGCAGCAGCAGCAGCAGTCCGTGTGAGTGAGAAAGGAAAAAAGCTTCGGAGCGTATGGCGTCCCCGTATTGAAATTCCTAGAAGAGTGTTTCATGTCCTCTCCGAAAGCGTGCTTGGCACTGCAACTTGTCAAAAAAACGATGGCTTGATTCTCGCTCCTTGCCAACGTCTCGCGAGAATGTTTTCTTCCGCACCGCGCACTGGCGAAGACGAGCTCCACTTGTCTACGCGAAGCTGGAAAATACGGGAAAAATACTGCTTATTCCAGCGGTCTTAGAGTTGCAAAGAGGGATCTTTAGCCGTCTGAGGGGGCGGAGACATTCCTTCTTCGCGCCAAAATTTCGCATCTAATCGATCGGAAGGAGCAGAACGAATTCTAAATCTCCCTGTTTTGGTCTATTTCAGTGAAGGAACTCATGAGAGCGGATCCCGACCTCATGATCTACCACCTGTACTTGCTTTCTGTGAGCGGGATCGCTCTGGGCCTGTTTTTCACCATAATCGCATCGGTCCTATCCGTGGTCAACTCGGTAATGACACCGGTGGAGAAATTCAACGGCGCAGTCGGTCTATACACTTGGAATTCGCTTTCGGGTAAGTCCCCTTGACCTTCGCATCTGAACTCTGAGTTTCTAAATCCACCGTCACGCTGTTCATATTGATTCGAGTCATGAGAGTCTGTCCGTTCGTCTCCGTTAGCAGAACACTGTCGAGAGAGCAGGATCGTTGCATTGACAGCCAGACACTCTCGCAATTTGAGTCGGATCGATAAACAATTCTCAAAAACACAATGGAGTTCATCGCTCCGACTGCAAGAGCACTCATCAGATATTTCTTGTCGAGAGTCGAGCCCAAGTCCCGGATGATGAATGATTATTCAATCCCGTTGACAGGGAAATCTTGCAGAGAAATTGATTTTGACGGTGGTAAGCCGCTTAGCGTTGAATGTTCTCACTCTGGACAACCGACGACTCGTAATACCGAAAAATGATTAATTGAGTGAGAAGTGTCAGAAATCCGATTATGTGTGACGGATCCCCTTCCTGAAATCCGAGAAAATGACACAAGAGTTTCGAGGCAGCTCCAACCACAATCAGGAAGCATCTTCGCATCTGATATCCGGCGCGGCATCGATCTTCGACTGCCTGCTGGCGATTACGCGATGCGATAAGCGGTGGACGAGATCTCCTCCGAATCCCGGACATGCGATCATCCACGACTCATGGACGGTCACATGAAGTCGTTCCCGCCGCGTGCTCCATTGATTTGTCGTCTCCGCGAGAACGTCATGATGAGCATACGTTCTCCGCGTGAAATATGATTTCGGAGCTCATCCGCGCACACGACCCCGCGGAAATCCGCAGAGCCGTCTCACTCCGAGAGAGCTCATGAGTCTATCAGTTTCTTGGAACGATCTCCCACCCAACAAAACATCCACTCTCGTCGCGAGGGGAGCTCTTCTTAGTCGGATTCAGTCCAGTGCAAAAACTCTACGGCTGACAAGAGGGAAGGTGTTTTTTCCTCTCTACGTGGAACGTATTGCGCTGCGACCCCATACTTTCTGATAGCCGGTGGACCAGACAATTATTTTCAAGCGCATTCTCGAAACAACCTGTTTCGTGTGTAGGGTCCTCCTTCACGAGCGTTCACATTCCTTTATCGCTCTTCCTGAGGATGAGACTGAATTATTGCTGCCGGTTTCCACCTCGACTCGCTATTTTTTCCAACGAACTTCCTCCATCAACCCGTATTATGGGTCTTAATCGTGATGGTCCTTCCAATTATTCTGTCTACCTAACGTCCTTCTATCGTCCGAACGAGTTTTATTTCGGTTCAGGCGTCCCGCGCTGCCTCGTCTATTCGTTGGAGGCGCGATCCCGGCCGAAAATCCAGGCGAGCGAGCGTCCCGGGCGCCAAAGCAAACAGGGTGAATAATTCAAGGACGGAAAAAGAGGCATTTAAGCAAGCCGGCTAACTCGTTCCCTTGAGCCGAGAGAGGAAAAAAGCTTCCATTCCCTCACGCGGGTAGCGATTAAGAGAATGAGCGAGAAACAGACGAGCAGGAACAAGACCAGATGGGCGAGCGAGTGAGTGGTGACGATGAGAAACTCCTACGGACAGAAGCGAGCAGAAGACGGGGAGCGAGAGCAGACGACGTCGATGGGAACAACGTCAAGGATTTGAACTGACATTGACGTGAAAACGATAATTAGTTGTCGATGTCGTTCACTTTCTCGAGTAACAGCAAGAAGATTTGACTGACACGCTGCCGAGACTTCAAATCTTCTGACACTGTGTTGCACCTTGCTGCTCCTCCGGCCCATACGGAGGAACGTTCGGACGTGCGAGCATACGAGCGAACCCCTGGGAACGACATATGCCCGCTCCCGATTTCCGGATCTTCCCAGGAACATCACGCGGATTTTTCAATTAAGTTGACTCAATCCCTAGGTAAATGCAGACTGTCCTCCTCGTCTTCCGCTCGACAGCTCGGGGTTTGTTTTACGCTGCTCGTCGACGTAATGTATACATGAGTATTACTTGTGTGCGTATGAGTTCGTGTGGAGCTGCGCAAAGCCATAGCCCGAGTGGGAGCAGACGCCTAGCAAACTCCGATGTCGGGGCGGTTTTCGGTCTCGCTCACAAGCGACATTCTTTCCCTCGTCGACGTGGTGGTGGTCGTCGTTTAATATCAAATTCGCTCTCCTACGTGCAGTGGGACGAAGTTTCTAGCTTTTCCGTCGCTTGCACGATACTCGCTCGTTCGCTCGCAGCGCGCCTTGTTGTGCTTTGACGCTGACAGTTTTATCTCGGCTCGACCGAAGCGTTGGAGATTGCTTTCAAAATGCCCCCGGTTTCTCGACTCGATACTCGGATTATTGTTGCTCCAGAATCGATTGGCACGGGATGGGTCCACCCTGCCGTGTTCTAGCCGAACGAGAACTTCGAACGTGATGCTTCTCTTCCGTCTGAGAGATCGACAAGGGGAACGAGGGTTATTTCGTAAACACTTCTGACAGAGAGTATTCTCATCGGATTCTATCCGCACATTCTTCCCTGAATTTCTCACTGGGAGAGCTTTGTAGGGAAATACGAAACTTGTTCCGAACGATTCATTGTCAATTTCAGTCCGTAATAAATACCATTGGGGGCGAATAAGCTTGCCCCAAGACCACGTTCGATGCGTGATGCTCGATGTTGATCTACGCGTAAATCGGTAGTCGCCGCACGTTGCTGCATACCTAAGCATGCATGCGCAAGTTGTGCAACTCGTCGTGCGCGCGCATCCCCATACGTGACTAACGGATGATCGAGTTCTCTTTTCCAAACAATCTGCGTTCCGTCTCCCTCATAGTCATGCAACGCAGTCCTTGCTGATATCGATGATCTGAGCTCATGAAATTAAAATGCCACGGAGTCCTATCCATGAAGATCTCATTGGACTAGAGACTTCGAATTCGGAGTCCATAAGAATGACGTTCTCTTCATGCCTGTGATGCATGGGAAAAGAACATTGATTGGTGATAACTGTCCAAAACGGAGAATGGCACTCACTAACGCCAACCTTTTCTCTTCCACAGCGATTTGCTGCGTGATTTCGCTTATCAGCTGGATCCTGCAATTCCAATGGAAACTCTCTCACAATGTCATGTCTCCGGATGAGCGCCGGCAGCAGTGGAACTCGGCGGGCCTCGCCACTATCGGTTACTCGTTTTTACTCGTCGTTCTAGGCGTGCTTTTGAACTTTTGTAATATTTTCGTGATTATTGTTGCCGACAAGAAGCCTTGGTTGAAACCTCGAACGGTACCGGTCCACCCCAAAGCGGGTCAGGGCGCCGTTATCATGCTCTACTAAGATGGGGCAACTCAATCTCGTAATCGCCAATCGCCTCCTCGCCATATGTATTCTGCTTCCAACTCCTAGATTGTTCTGAACCGGTATTTAATAAAAACTGTAAATAAATATTCAATCCGTGTGCATTGTCTTTTTCTTTTCGTACTCGACGCCGATTGAGAAACTCCCTCCCGCGCCGAGTTGAGTAATCAACTTGAGCTTCAATAGACCGGGGTGGGAGTGGGTCGAGAACGGCAAACCGCTAGTTGATGTTGCGCTAGCCGTAATTCGACGAGGAGCGTCCTCTAGGGTCTCATCACTCAGCGAGTGTTTCCTATCGCCTTCGGAGCCACACTGACTTGGACACGATGTCCGACGATACCTTTGAGCCGAATATATATTGCTGCTACCGATCTTAGCGAGCCAAGTATCGGGTGCAGAATTCTCGCCGAAAACAACTACCGATGAGCGACGTCACATCAATCGGAGCGGTGAAGGACGAGCGAGACCTGGGATGCGGACATTCAGCTTTTGATACGAAAATATCCCCCTCGAGCAAGAATTCTCTCCATCGGGAGCCGAGAAGTCTGAGGAACTTTTTCAGAAGAATCGAGGAATACCTGAGGTGCTTCACTCCTTGAACCGGAGTGCTGTCGTCAGGCCTTCCGATGCTCGAGAAGATTTGCGGCAGAGTTGTCCGTAGACGGCGAGCGCGATAATTAAGTGCGACCACCGGACGACGTGGCGAGACGGTTCCGGACAAATGAAGCCTCCATTTCCATGACAGAGGACAACTAACAAGGTTTCTGTTGCAGCTACTGCTGTTGATGTTGTTATCTGTCCGCTGAAACAATGACCCGCCTAGTGAGCAGAGACCTCGCATTCAGCATTGCACGTTGACGCAAAAAGAAACATTCAACCGTGATGTCGCTCGGCGCGGTATGGTTTGGGGCTCGAGGGGCGCGACGGAGGCGCGATTGAAATGCAAATTGAGGCTCCCGCGTATCTCACCAGACAAGACACACAGGAGAACAGAAAGGGAGAGAGAAATGACAGGCATCCTTGGACAGCTCAAGATCTCGGTTTCTTCGATTCTGGCGCTTCCAGAAACACATTCGAAGCCTCGCATACCGTCTCCAAGAAGCTCCTCCCCAGAATATCAGAGCAGCTCCCAGCTCCCTAGAGCTGGAAAATATTCTCTGGCAGGATCCTTCCCCCCACCCCCGCAGAAGGACGAACCGCTTGATATTCTTGTTGTGAGCGCTTGCAGTCCACGAGGTTTTTCCCTCGGAACAACTTGTATCTGAGTGGACCTGTTCCCCATCTGACTCAAACTGTTTGCTGCTCGAGTCGAGCAGAGTCAAGCTGTCTGCCAGTTATCCCATGTTGTATCCTCGGCAGATGTTGATGAAACACTAATTCGATTAGCGCCCCGGCAGAAGGTAGCAGCAATGTGTCGAAACTGTCCACTGTGTCGAAATGGTGAGGAAGCGACCGTGGGCTGTCAAATCAGCTGACGGAATGGCCAGTGTGCTCACCGACACGCCTCACCGTCTTGCATACGCGGCAGCCTGAGCGCGATGTTAACGATTCAGCGAGCAAACAGGACGGACCACGGTCTGCTGTTCCCTCCACGGCCAGAATCCAAGTTCAGGGAGCATTACCAAAGTCGTCGAGACGATGGAAAATCGAGGGAAAAAATCCTGAGGCGAAGTTTTCATGTGCACCTCCCGTTGCGAAGGATCCGTGGAGAGGGTTTCTAGGGCGTCCTCGTCGCCGGCGTCTCCAACGCTCCACAGTCGTGACAGGGCGGATCGGTCACGGTACTCGATTCCCGCAGCTGAGAAGAGGAAGACGAACACTGCGGACGGAGAGGATCGGTCCTTCGGTCATTAATTCCAGAATGAGGGAGCTTCTATCCATTTGTATCATCATTCTATTGAACCCAACTTAATCCTTCAGAATTGACATCGGATTACTGATGGAACTCTCTCCGAGTCTTAGCAGGAGACGGAGCCCGGCGGGAACAGCCGGCCCGACGAAGTCGAGAAAGTTCTTGGAACGCCGGTCTGTCACTTAGCGAACGGGGAATTGTCCTCCTCTCCCAACCATTAGGTACTCCAGGAAGAAGTCAAGAGTCAGGGGGAAACGACCGAGACGGAGCAAGGAAACGAATATTTGATCCCCTGATGTACAATCCTCGGTCTCAGTCAGCGAATAGCAGCTCTTCTACTGACTGCGTGGGAATCCGCAAACACAGGTCGACGGAATCGACGTGCGATTGTTGAAACTTTGCTCTCGTTCGCAGATGGAGCCTCTCGAGTCTTCGCTTCGAAACGATCCTCGTCGAAACTGTCGTCATGAAGTTGTTGACTTAGATAAATGAACCTCCTATTGACCCTAATGAAGGATTAAAACAAATTCACCCACGGATCTGCCAGATCGTAAATTCGAGGCTCGGAGACGGGAGCGCTCGGTGAAGGACCTTCGAAAGACCCCTCCACGACAGATTCCCCCGAGCGATAATCTTCGGCCCACGGTGCCGACGAATCGAACCTCATGAACTTCCGAGAAATTAGTGAGTCGCGGAGCTCCCCCGATCGGGGAGTTTCCCGCCGCATCGCTCGCCAAAGTCGGAATGAAGCTGGACAATAGAGTCTCCCGTCGAGGTTGTCTCAAACAACACTCTCCAAGTTCCCTGCTTATCCGCGGATCGATGAGAGCGTCTATTAGTAGCTCGACAGCGAGCGGCGAAAATAGACCGTCATAGTCGCTCGTTTGAGAGATGACCTTGCGACAACCTTCACGCTCTCGTACCTGCTCCGATAGAGCTCCTTCGGTCTCATGGGTGGGCCCTAGAGAACTAAACTGACTCCATGAGCAGCTGAAATCCGCACATCGATTCCGCACGGAATAGAGCTCTTAGCCTTTGGAAGCGATTTTTTTCCCGGAGTGCTGTACCGCTGTTTTTGACGGTGACCGTCGACGACGTTGCACTTGCAGTTACGAGCGGACGTTCGGGCAGAATTTATGACCAGCCTCACTTACTTTGTGGGGACTCGTTTGTGAGCAACCGGCCAGTTGCGGCGATGCCGCGCCGCGGGCAACTCCACCGTAGTCGGAGCCCCGCCGTCGGCGGATCGAGACGAGAGCAACGCGAGCGAGAGTGTCACCGTGGAAGATTCTCTAGGAGGAAATCTCCGATTTTACAACTCTCCCCATGCGCAATAAATTCCGCGGCTGGTCGATGTTAAAGTTGTCCGTTTTTGATAACACTGTTGAGGATGGCTGCCGCGACTCGTTCAACAGCATCATATGCTCTCGATCCGGCGGAACGTTTTCGAGCGGATTGGATCACGATCATCGACCCGCACTTCGAGGAGTAATAAATACGCCGCCAATAAAGTGCTCGCTGTGGGTTCAGCGGAGCGAATCTTTGTGTTACAATAAAAGTTCCGGCGATTATTTGCTTTGGAGGAGGAGCGAAATTCCCTTTGAGCCGAATGCCGTACGGTGAAATCGCTCCTAACCGACTCTGACACTGTGAGTGTCATTTGTTAAACGGTAGCGGCTCTCGTGTCGGCCACGACTGTCTCGTCAGCGGCCGGGCTTTGGTTTCAGACATGTTTTTGCTAGCCGAAGGGCTATTTCTCGCTATTTTTAACGCGACATTTCAACGCTCACCGGCCAATGTCCGCACACATACATACACCGACGAATGAGTGCTCACGCTCTGCGAAAACTCACTGACCCACCGACTGGCCGGCCGGCGGGCCCGCTCGACGAACCAACTCGGCGTCCGGCTGACAAACAAATACTCGTACACTGCGACCAGCGACGAACTCAAACAAATGCACTCGGAACAAGCTCAAAAGTGACACCTCCCAATGAGACCGATCAAGTGTTCTCGCGGGCGGACAGGCAGGCAGGCTGGCTGGCGGTCCGTAGACGAAGCGAGTAATCTACCAATTTAACTCGTTGTTTATACGGTCCGGGAAGCTTCCTTGTTTGCACCTCTGGTCAGTCGGGCGCAAACATTCGTTGGCATTTATCCGAAGCCCGTCGCAGATAGAAGCTTCCTTCGTGGCGTAGGCTGCCAGTTAGATCATACGGTGTTGTTCGAGTGATGTTGTCGTCATTGTCTCTGAAATCGACCCTCATCCATTTGGTCGGCTATAAGCGTACGCCTCTGTGCTCTCCATCTGCTTGATCAGCTAATTTAGCCCGAAGTGAGAGCGGATCTCTTCTTCATTTTCAAAAACACTTGCTTGCTCCCAAGGGAGGAAATCCTCACTGGGAATGACGGTAGGGATCGCGAGACCTATAGAATATATATTCGGAGAAATCCGGCATCCGAAGTCCATCGAGGTGGATAGGAGTTCAGTGTCGACGGCGTTTGGGGCCGTCCTCCAGACTATCATCGGGTCAACAAAATTCCGAGTCGTCGGGGGAACTATTTCGGGTGAAGCTTTCGCGGTCATTGTCTGCGAACTAGCCGCCGACAAGCAGTCCGTCGACAGTACCGCTCGAGTGGGCGGCCCGGCTCGAGCGTCTGCATTCACTCGTCCAGGAAGTCGAGATGCGGTTTGCGAAATGTTCCTCTAAACTAACAGGATGAATAATTTCCATTGAAAGGTGGAGTCGTGCATGCGGTTGCTTAAAATTAAGACAGACGCTAGGAACTACTGCCGGGGGCCAGCTCCGCTCTCGAAGAAACTTTCGGGACGGTGCGAGTCGAAATTCCTACGTTCCCGCTGCTTGACGAGTACGCCCCGAAGTTGAGTGATGCATCCTGACATTGATATATCCGGCCGAATGGCGGAGGCTCATTTTTTTTCCTTCCCTAGGGTTCCGCGTATGACGAAACCTTGATTGCGGATCTTTGGGGTAAACATAAAACGGACTCCGTTGTGAGGGATCACAAAACAGTTCCGAGCCGCTTGAAGTTATGGAGTTTGCTGAAGTTGGACCTCCGGGATTCCGTGCCGATGCGGTGGCCGAGCTCTCCAGGGGGATACTGAGGTTGTTCCGCAGCCCAAACCTGGTGCCATGAGAGAGCTTTAGCCGCTTGATTAGGTAGATCTATCCTCGGAGAGTGACGTACTAGGAGGTCAAACGGGTTAGTTCACCA